ATAGACTCCTCGATGAACTTTTCTAGGATTTTCCCTTGGATGGAAGTTAGGCTGATTGGCCTATAGTTACCCGGGTCCTCCCTCCTGCCCTTCTTGTGGATGGGCACAACATTGGCCCTCTTCCAGTCCTCAGGGACTTCTCCAGAGTGCCACAAGCTTTGGAAGAGTTTTGCCAGGGGTTCCACAGGGACTTCAGCCAGCTATTTCAGCACTCTTGGATGAAGATCATCTGGTCCAGCTGACTTGTATACATCTAATTTTTTTTAATTGGTCATGCACCAATTCTGCAGCAGTAGTAGGAAAGCAATTACTCCTACCATGTTCATCCTCTACTCTACCTGGCATAGTTTTCCCCTTGGTCTGGTGAAAGACTGAGGTGAAGTAGTCATGCAGGAGTTCAGTTTTCTCCTGGGTACCAGTAACCAGCTCTCCTGAGTTGTTGAACAATGGCCCCACACTCCCGTTTTCCTCCTATTCCCTATATACCTAAAAGAAGGACTTCTTGCTGTCCTTGATTCCTGTTGCTAATTTAAGTTTGGTCGCTGCTTTAGTCTGTCTTATTTGTTCCCTGCAAATGCGGGCTGTCATGGAATAGTTCTCCTTGGGGCCTGCCCTGAGCTTCCATTGTTTATAAGCCTCTTTCTTCTTTCTTAAGAGGACCGTGATTTCCCTGTTTAGCCAAGAGGGCTTCCCAGCCTTTCTGTTACCTTTTCTCCGCATGGGAACGGACTTCCTTTGTGCTTCAAGGTTCATGTCCTTAAGGAACAACCATTGTTCATGCACGCATTTCACCTTTGGTTCCCAGTCGCTGGTCCTGCAGTACTTGCCCTATTAGTGACCTAGGCTTGTTTAAATTTGCATTTTTGAAGTCCAAGACTTCAATCCTGCTATCCAATTTGTCTGTCTTGCGTCAGGCAGTGAACATGATGGTTTCATGGTCGCTGTTGCCCAGACTTCCCTCTATATTTAAGTCAGTCACCAGGTCGTCTCCTTTGGCCAGGACCAAGTCTAGCAGGGCATCACCTCTGGTTGGGTCATGAACCACCTGAGTCAGGAAGAGTTCCTCGACACAGGTGAGGAAAGATCGTGACCGATCCTACTTGGCTGAGTGTTCCTTCCAGGTGATATCTGGATAATTAAAATTGCCCATGACCATGTCATGTGCACTTCTGTCCTCACTCAATTCTCAGGTGAACTCCAGATCAAGTTCCTGCCCCTGGTTTGGTGGTCTGTAGTATACACCTACAGTTAGATCTCTTTTGCACCCCCTCCCACCAACTTGAGCCAGAGGGTTTCAAGCTGTCCATTTTTGGAGCTGATGTCGACCTCCAAGGAGGTGTATTGCTCTTTCACGTAGAGAGCAATGCCTCCACCTTTCTTCCCCACCCAGTCCCCACCAGGTCTCCATAATCCTTACTAGGTCATAATGCACACTGGAGAGTAGGAGGGCTATCTCCTTCTGCTTGTTTCCCATGCTCCTGGCGTTAGTATGTAGGCACCTAAGTCCTACTGAGGCCCTTGTCTTCCTGTCCTGCTGATGGTGAACTATATTCTCTCAGCTCCTGCAAACATGGCTCTCCCAGTGTCCCTATCTACAGGGCTTACTGGTATGTTGGTCCCTGGACATGTTTGAATTTGTGTATCCCCATCCCCTAGCAATCTTAGTTTAAAGCCCTGTCCAGAAGTTCGGCCATCCTGGCTATGAACAGGGTCTTACTTTTCCTCATGAGGTAGATGCTGTCCCTTCCCAGGAGTCCTCTCTCCCTGAAGTGCATGCTGTGGTCAGGGAATCCGAAGCCTTCTCAGTGGCACCAGCGTTAAAGTCGCCAGTTCACTTCCTCGATGCATCTTTCCCTTCTGGGACCGTGGCCTGAAACAGGGAGCACAGAAGAAAAGACTACCTGAGCCCCCAACCCCTTGAGTCCAGCCCCCAAAGCCCTGTAGCCACTCATGACCCGGTCTTGATTGCTCCTGGCCGTGTCATTAGTTCTGACATGGATGAGGATCTGTGGTAGTCAGAGGCTGGATGAGCCTGGGGATCGTCTCTTCTACATCCCGGATGCGAGCCCCTGGGAGGCAGCATGCCTCACGGGCTAGGGGGTCCAGACAGCAGATGGGTCCCTCAGTGCCCTGCAGGGGTGAGCCTCCTACCACCACCACCTTGCGCCTCCTCTTGGGGGTGGCAGCAAGCTCCTTACCTTCCCCCTCTTCTGGTGTCACCATCAGAGCTGCCTTATGTGTGGGGAGGGGAGTGTACCTGTTGTGCAGGGCCAGGGGAGGATTAGCCCTGGCCTTGCGTTTCATGGATCCTGAGGTGACTGTTTTATTTCAGTTGCTGCTTTAATTTAATAGAAAGTGAACCATAACTCTTCATAAAAACATAGAGGAGTAAAGAATTTCATTTAGAGGAAGTGGCTTAACAGCATGTGGGTCAGTTTAGGTTTGTGTTGTTGAAGTCCGTTTTATTTTTCAAGAGGTTTCGGTTAAGTTTATAGGTGAACCGACATGAGGAAAATTGAGAGTATTAGCAGTCAGCTTTTTTGTCTGATGTGGCTGATAAATGCTGCATGAAAGTGCACAGCGGTGAGGGAGGGAGTGGGAGTGGGGCAGGGACAGGGGCAGGTGTTGCCCAGCCGGGGTGGGGCAAGGCATGGGATAGAGCTGTGGCTCGTGCAGGGAGTGGGGGGCTCCCACCGCTGCACGCACCCCGGGAGGCCATGGGTGTGCGTGTGCCCCTGAATATGCACGTGGGGCAAGGGTTGGCTGTGGCTCCAGGCTGGGGCCAAAGCTGCTCTGGGCCCTTCCTGGTAGGGGACTGGGCCTGGCTGTGTTCAGGGCAGGTGGCGGCAGCAGCACTGGGAGGGTAGGTTTTGGGGGCTGCAACCACCCCAAAATTTGCCATAGCCCACCCCACCCTCCATTGTCCCACTCCCAGCACCAACACTGTTGCCACCACCCACCCCGAGCACGGCCTGGCCCAGTCCCCTGCCAGGAAGAGCCCAGTGCAGCCAGCCCCTTGCCAGGAAGAGCCCAGTGCAGCCCCGGTCCCAGCCCACAGAGGCAGCCTGCCCCGCCCTGCATGCAGATCTGGGGGCACGCCCCCCCCCCGCCCGCCCGGCCCCTGTGCCCTTCTGGGGTATGTGCAGCAGCAGGAGCTGCCACCCTCATGCCCCCTGGATGAGCTGTGGCTCTGTCTGGTGCAGTCCTGGCCCCAGCACACAGATCTGGGATGCATGCAGATCTGGGAGCACACCCCCCTGGCCCCTGTGCCCTTCTGGGGTGTGTGCAGCATCAGGAGCTGCCACCCCCATGCCCCCCGGATGAGCTGTGGCTCTGTCCTGTGCCACGCCCCACCCTGGCTGGGGAGCGCCTGTCCCTGCCCCAGCGCCTGTCCCAGCCCCACTCCCTCCCTCACTGCAAGGGCCTCAATCTGCCCCCGCCACCCTCGTCCCCCCACAGCAAACTTACCAGCCAGACACTGCTCTCCAGACTGTGTGGCTGCATATCAGAATCAGATTGGTATCAGCCAATATGGCTTCTTAAAAAAGCCGTCAGTATCAGCCCCAAAAAGCTCTATCAGTGCACCCCTAGTTTAAAGAGTATAAGATATAGAAGGAGACTGTCAAGTACTACATCTGTTTGTTTAAATGTCCGTTGTATTTGTCCTTGAATTTTCACCCTTTTTGGCAGGTATTGAATACTGATGTTTCCTGTGTTATGCTTTATTTTTGTTTGATTTTTTTACACCAGCATCAGTGATGTCAGCAGGAGCATTTCCAGAAGTGTGGGGAATATTTATCAGCTGAAATGGGCTGTGTGCCTAAACCAGAGCTCCACATGCATGAATTTTGGGGACATTGTTTGTGGCTCTGATCTCTTCAGTTTTGGGCTATATTTGTTAATGAGCAGCTGCAGTAAAACATAAGGGGAAGTACCTGGCATGCAGTCTCTTATTCCATCACAGTGGGATATTGAAATTATATAGGGCAGTTGGAGCTGCTACAATGGGAGACGATGAACATCCTAAAAACTGTGTCCTGAGTTGCTTAAACTTGTCCAGAGCAGCCTAGAGCTAACAATTGCAGGCATATGGAAGAGTTGATCCCTAGAATGGAGAGTAGAGAGCCTCTGGGTCACGTGCCCACTATTCTCATTCAGATGGTATGGTGGTGGAATTGGCTTGAATCAAATGCATAGGTACAACAAGAGCCAGATTAGTGGGACTGGATGAAATAGATTGGGATGATGGTCCTGGGTAGAAAAGGAAAAGACTGAAACTTGAGGTGGGGCTGCGGTATGGGGGCTGGGGACTGGATTGACAGAGCAAGAACTATGGGAATGGGAGCCAGTATGCGGCAGAAAGAGAGGCAGTAGATGGGACATGGGTCTCATGTGCAGTCTGTGTTGGGGGGAGAACTGGCAGTGGGAAAGGAGAGACTCCAACTAGAATGGAGGATTAGGGGATAGAAGGGGAAGAGGATGGGGATAAGGAACCAGCTACAGATTAGGGGTAAGAGGGCAGAAGAGACAAGTTGGTGGGAAATAGGAGGAGGATCTTTGACCACTAAAGCGTACTTTTTCCCCCGGAGCCTGGAATGAACCTGTGATTCTCCAAGTCCCTATTTCCCTGCTGTTGTCAGATATCTGAGAAACTCGCAGGCAGCACATCTCATCTGTCTAGTGTTGGTCCATCTATAGGTAGCAGTAATTGGTTCTCATCACTAAATCCATTACCTCAAGCAGAAGAAGACATTACAATGAATCACGTTGCTGACAACCCATGATGGTAATATTATGATGCCACATGTTGGAATTGCATTTGTTTTGTAGATTTACTCCCATGTGTAAAACAGTCTTACAGAAGGGGCATTAATAATTGCATGCTGAATGTAACCATGCACTATTAAGAACATTCCAGAAGTGTTAGGAAATTCCAAATTGTAGTTTTATTGGCAATGGATTCTCTCTCTAATAGATCTTTATTTTTCTTATATTGCCAGGGTTCACAAAAAGAGTTGTTGAATTTAACTCAGCAGGATTATATAAATCGAATTGAAGAACTCAACCAGTCACTAAAGGATGCCTGGTCCTCTGACCAAAAAGTAAAAGCTCTAAAAATAGTTATCCAGGTAAGTTTTTACATATGTTTATGCTGTACAAAAATAATGAGATTTGGAGCAGTCTTTTTTTTTCTTTTTTTTTTCGTTGTCCTCCCCTGGTCTCCCTTCCCCTAAAATAGATTTTATTCTAGTTACAAGATTGGTTCAGTTGCTTGAATCTTGCTTGTAATTTTGATGGTAGAAATGAGACTTGGAAAGTAGGTGTATAGTTTGTGTGCGTGGTGTGTGCATATACTAAAAAAACCCAAAAAACCCTAAACTGCATTATTACCATAAGTAGTTGGAGAGTCAGTTACCGTCAATAATACTGTAGAAAATGACAGGATGATTCTATATGTAGGGGTCCTTATATCTAGGAAAGCACTTAAACATCCTCTGTGAAACTTTTCACACTCTTAAGCTGAGATTGGACAAAGCATGAGGCTGAGCTGCAAGGAATAACTTTGAATAGGAAGAGGCAGGGAAAGACAGAAGTCTAAAAAAAACCAACTAGTATAAACAATGATGATATTCAACTGTCTGCAGGTTACTAATGCTAACTTGCCTGTTCTTATTATGCTAAAATCCTTTTGGTTTTTATTTTTTAACTCCAATTAGAGCTCTATCAGGGAAGTAATATCCAAGTGAATGTGGTTTTCATAAAAATTGGGGTCCTTGAATATCCTGTATCATTTTGTACTTTGAAATATATCTTTGTAAAATGTTTAGGGTAAGAGAGAAGTCCGGGTGAGTATTGTGCTAGTATTTGAAAAAAAACAGGTGTCTGGGAAATGGGGTTCTTTCCTTACCTTTTTGTCTTTATAGATTCTAATGTTTAGGTTCTTCTACAAGTATTCGTTCTTGTAAAGAAAGTGACATTGCATCCATTGTTCCCTGGACTCTATAGAAACTGACTTAGCTTTTGTATAAAAATCTGACTAAATTCAGGTTCCAGCCGTAGTGTTTTAATTCTTTACTATGTGTTGGTATACTTTTGAGAAAGTGAGTACAAAAAGATTAAAAAAAACCCCTATTGTATTGAAATACAGGATAATAAAATAGGAGCCTTTAAGATAATTTCTCTGATCTATATATATGCAGGGTATTAATAGGTTGGAAACAGTATGTCTGTATCTGTAAGATGCACATCATACTATTTGGGGTTTATATAAAATGTACGTTTCATGATTTGTTTCATTGCTCTTGCTCAAGCATATAAACGATAAGAGTATTTGGTGGTAGTTAAGATCCTTTTTCCAGTATGTTCAGTTGAAAGTAGCTGCCAAGTGGGTCTGCAGGTCTTTGCACCAGATATTTGGAGATACAAAAATCTACTTGACTTATCTTCCAGTAAAAACATTTTTTTCCTCAAATGGCATGCGGCAGACCACTGCTAGCTTCCTTTCAAGGTCTGTTATTGGCTTACAAAGTAAACATTAACCAAGGAAGGTTTTGTCGGATTCCAAAGAAACCGTGGTGTGAGCAGCTTGCGGTGTAGATTCTGCATGGAAAATGCTTGAAACCAGCATATGTGTTTTTTTCCTAAATATTTCTCTTGGCAATAATTCTGTTTGGCTTAATTTATTGATTGTGCCCTAAAGCAGGCTTCGCTTAGTTTCAATTCATCTGTCTTCAAATAAAATAAAGCCCATAGAACATCCTGTCAGATGTTTTATTTAAAGGGTACTTGGATCTAGGGCCTCATCACTGTTGTGTCACTGCAATATGTTCTCTGCATGTAAGGAACATAAAATAAAAATAGTAAATATCTGTAAGGGTGATAGCTGTTAGATTTTCCTTAATGGGGAAGTTGTTTTTGAGATTTCTGTGGAGGTTGCCTGAAGCTAAAGTCGCATGTAAAGAAACCTTTGTTTTGTAAGGATCAAAAAGCTCAACTAAAAACAAAATTAGTCTTGGTTTATTCCTGGTTATAGAAATGAGACTACTGATATTGAGGATGGTTGATTTTATACTAGGCAATGTCCATGCTTATGGTGTTAAATGCTCTAGTATTCTTTGTAATGGCTGACTTTAAGGATTATTTTTGTCTGCAGGGATATTGCAGTAGTGGATGGGGGAATCTCTAGTTTATTCTGTACTGCTGCTTAAAGTAATGGAGGGTGGTACAGGATAATTGCTTCTCTTTCCCAGATAGTCTTATCTCAGCAGGTTATAACTGTCATGGAGGTCCAGGGGAGAGATGCCAAGCTGAGCGCTCCCATCATGTCAGTAATACCAGCTGTAGATTAGTGTCTACGTCTGGCAGTAGAATAACTTGGTTTGGCCCTTAGATTGGTTTTTAGTTAATATCTGGCATAGTATCCAAGTCATTCAGAAGGAACAAGAATGAAAAATGCCTTATATTGCTGGTTCCCACTATGGAAAGTAAAAATAAATTAACCAATTTTACTGGAAAGCAGATTTCACTGGAACAGGTCTCCTTTAAATTCTGCCTTGTTTTGCATTAGTGGCCTGAAAATGAGCAGTATTCCTTACTTCTACCAGACATTTCTTGAGGCTTGTGTGACCATAGCACTCATGAGTCCCAATCAGGTCAGGTCTCCATTGTGCTGTAGTCTGTATAGACACACAGAAGAGGGAGGCTATTACTTGTACAGCTTAAAAGTAGGTTGGTAAGACACATGTGATATAGTAAGAGAAGGGAGTATAGAGCAATACTAATCCAAACTCATTTTGCTTGGGGTAGCTGAGTGCACGTTTCATGTGTGTAATAAGACAGTTGGTAGCAGTAATCTCAGCTCGCCACCTGTTTGTCCTTTGTTAGATTGAAGTGCTCAGTTGGCTTCACAGTAGAAATAAGTTTTAAGGAGGATAAAGTGGTTTTAAGGATTTGGTTTAGGAGAGGAGGGCTCATGTGGTAGAAAGTGCAAAGGTGCTGGTTCTACAAATGGATAAAATAGATTAATCAAATGAAACAGGATTAAAACTAAAATAAATTGCTCTGTCTTCAATTCTTTATTAACTGCTAACTCCCCCAACTCCTACCCCCCCCCCCCAAAAAAAAAAAAAAAAAGTGAAAAACAAATTAAATACTGGCCAATGTGAATTTCCACTTTCTATTCCAACCTGGTAAAGTAATTGAATAATCTGATTTAATTTAATGAAGCACAGAAAATGGTTCAGGGGTTCTGTACTAATGATGCACAATGTTCACCTGTGCTAATTTGGAAATGGCTCTTTTTGGGGGCAGGTCATGTATGTAAAGAATTACTACTTATGAGTTAGCCTCAGAGTACCAGAGGCCATCCTTAGAAGTGATAAGGCTGTAATGCTGCTAGTCCTGGGGAAAAGCTACCTAAGGTCAGGTTTATTTTTACAGTGCTGGATCTATCTTTGAAAATGCTTTACATTTGTAAATATGATTGGTTACAATAACAGAGGAAATGAAACAACAAATCCATCATGGTTGGAGTTTAGCAAATGATCCATGACTTCAGATGATTGATATTTGGCTGTAGCAGTATGGAATTAGCAATATTGTTTAAAAACAGACTACCATGAACAGCATTGTGACCTGAGATTAATTTAATTAAAGAAAACATGGTATCTCAGAGCTCTTGTTGGAAGGGAAAGAGTAAAACATAACTGAGAGTTCAAAACTAAAGTTGGACACATGACTTAATAAAGCATCCTGCTTTTTATACACAGCTGTAGACATGCGCAGTGTGCCTAACTATCTTACGTGGTGACCGACCTGAACATAGCTTTTTTTTCCTAACTCTTGACACGCTATCACAAAGCTTTTCAAAGTAAGTAGAAAGGATGATCCTAAGACAAGGTGCCCTGTAAGACCATGCTTTGTGAAAATCTGAGCAGTTTGAATATCTGTATTGCACATTTTTACTTAAAAAATGAAACATCTTCTCATTGGTCTGTGAATGCTGTCCATGTATATGGATTAACTACTTCTCACTTGCAGCTTCCTCCTTCACATGCTTCTTGTTATGGATACTATTCTCTAAGACTGAATATTAGTGGCATGTGTTTAGGTTACTGAAATATTATAGCTAGTTCTGGTGATAATGAGAGTGAGAAGCAGTAATTCAATATTTAGAACAGTGTTTCCCAACCAGTGTGCCGTCAGAAATGAACAGATGTGCTGTGGAATTTTGCCATGGCAATGTGTTGCAATGGGTATGAGGATGGGGAATGCCTTAACAGGTGTGCCATGGGGAAATTTTATTAATGTATATGTGCCTTGGGTTGGAAAAGGTTGGGAAACACTGATTTAGAAAACAGTGTGCATGGGGCAGAAAGCCTCACTGAAGTCTCATTAATGCATATTCCCTTTCATTTAAAATGCTTTTCAGCACACAAGGCTTTCTTATCATGGAGGTAAGCTGTTTTCTTAGCTAGAGGCCAAAATCATGATATGTTCATCCTGAAGGGGATATATTTATTTCTCAGAAATGAAACATGCAGCAACAGGCAAGAAACCTATTTCATCAAAACACACAGGCATCTGATTTAAGGTGTTATGGACTTAGGGCCAGATTATAAGAGGCTGTTATGGGGAGAGCGCAGATGAAGCTGCTGCTTCTCTGCAGCTCACTCCCTGCCTTCATGCAACAGCTTGTCATAGATCTTGTCTACTTGATGAAGCTACTGGTCAGTAAATAGCTTCTTTGAGGGGATGCTGCTAGATATGCTAACAGCACCAGGAGTTCTGTTAGTATTATTGTCTCCATGTGACACATCTTTTATGTTTATGTTTGGTGTACAGTAGCGCTGTGCGAAGCTTTGGGTGGTGATTTGATTCCGAGGAGATTCGGCCTGATTCGGTGGCTGGATCTCCAAATTCGAATCGAATCAGGGGACCAATTAAAAAGTCTGAATCAATTCAAAGCTCTCTGAATCTTTGTAAAAGATTCGGAGAGTGTCGGTGATTCGGGCAGTCCCTGCTGGCTGCAGCAGGAAGCTGGAGCCGGACTTGGAGCTGGTAAGTAGGGGGCGGGGGAGGGGACCCCTGCCAGGCCCTATCCCCTGCCTGCTCCTTCAGCCCTCCCCCCGACCCCCCCGACCCCAGCAGCCAAATCTCCAAATCAGATTTGGCCAAATTGATTCGGGGCAGTGATTCGAATCACCGAATCGAAACACTGTCCCCTGAATCGGCCGAATCCGAAGTGAATATTAGCTGCTTCACACAGGCCTAGTGCACAGCTGCATCTATGTACATGCTAGGTCATACTTAAAACACACATTAGCTATTTTTTTAGTGTAGATGTGCTATGGATATGTCCAATATAGAGGCTCAGAAATTGATAGTGATGAGCATCATAAAAGTAACATAAATACACTTTTAAAAAATAAGTGACTCTTCCTGTGTGTTCTTTGCCAGAAGAATGTTTCATAGTTTCATAATTTCATAGTTTCATAGTAGTTAGGGTCAGGAGGGACCTGAACAGATCATCCAGCCTGACTCCCTGCCACAGGCAGGAATGAATGCTGGGTTCACAAGACCCCAGACAGGTGATCCTCCAACCTCCTCTTGAATTTGCCCACGGTAGGGGCGAGGACCACTTCCTTGGGAAGTTGGTTCCAGATTTTGGCCACCCTAACTGTAAACTATTGCCTTCTGATCTCTAACCTAAACCTATTCTCCATCAGTTTATTACCATTATTCCTCGTCATCCCAGGTGGTGCTGGGGAGAAAAGGGCTCTACCTATTTGCTGTTGATCTCCTCTGATGAGTTTGTAGGCAGCGACCAGGTCCCCCCTCAGCCTCCTGTTGCTGAGGCTGAACAGGTTCAGGGCCCTCAGTCTCTCCTCATAGGGCCTGTCCTGGTGCCTTCTCACCAAGCAGGTGGCCCTCCTCTGAACCCTCTCCAGGCTGGCCACATCCCTTTTGAAGTGCGGCGCCCAGTATTGGACGCAGTACTCCAACTGCATGCTGAACAAAGTCGCATAGAGCTAATGCCTAGCTTATGAAATGATACACCATGGATTACACGGTATAAGGGAAGACTGTTCTGGTTAACTCTTCTGGCAATGGAGAACGGCATGTTAGGACGGAAGAATCCTCTGCAGAAAAGGACCTGGGGGTTAGAGTGGACAATAAGCTGGATAAGTCAGAAGTGTGCCCTTGTAGCCAAGAAGGCTAACAGCATACTGAGCTGTATTAGTAGGAGTATTACCAGTAGATCAAGGGAAGTAATTATTCCACTGTATTCTGCACTGGTGAGGCCACATCTGGAGTACTGTGTCCAGTTTTGGGCCCCCCAATAGCTGGGAATGATGTAGTTGGGAATGGTCCTGCTTTGAGCAGGGGGTTGGACTAGATGACCTCCTGACGTCCCTTCCAACCCTCATTTTCTATGGTTCTGTGTTTGTAGTGCAGACAGAGATGACACATACATGTGCTGCTAGCTGAGACCAGAATCCTTGGTTCCTTTTTGTCTGACTTACATTTAAAGCATTTTACAGAAATGTTTTAAAAATGTACAAACCAATCTGTACCCTCCTTTTAAAAGCTGTCTTCCTTTTTTTCTTTTCTAGTGTTCCAAACTTCTTTCGGACACAACAGTAATCCAGTTTTATCCAAGTAAATTCGTATTAATTACAGATATACTTGATACTTTTGGTAAGTATTTTAAAATGTTACTTGCTTGATATCACCTGCCTTAAATATTTAGCTTTACTAAAGTGTATAAATAGTTATGCACAATGTACTGTTAATTCCTTTACTATCCTTGACTAATAATCTCAAGGAATTAATTATAAGACAAGATGGACTGTTTTAGTTTTTAGTGGGGTTTTTGTTAACGGCTTTCATGGAAAATTGAGCAGTTCCAGGTTTTTCTTAAGATCCCTTTTGACTATGAATCTATTAGGAACCTTGGATTCCTTCTGCACTCGCTTGATAGGGCTTAATGTAGTTTTGATTAAGAATACTGTTTCCTTTCCCCATGCCTCTAGTTGAGCCCATTCTGTATGTTTAAAGATAGTGGTCTAATAAGGCATCCTTTGGTACTCTCAGTGGCCCTCATCTATCCCATTTGCTTTCTTTCCACATGCATCTCAGCCTCTGTAACTTCTTGGTCCAGGCTAGTCAGGAATAAATTTGTGCTAGATATTGTTGGTGATATTGGATTTTTCAGCAGCCTTTGATGTGACTGGTAGAATAGCTACTTTTACAACTGAGGAACAGTGCTCTGTCAGGAACCACTTTCCATTAGTTTCAGTTTTGCCTTGCTGAAGTAAGCAAGTTGTTGGTGATGGTAGGAATCTGCTCTATCCAACTTCTGTCTGATGTACAAGTAACTCTTCTTATATACAGAGCTTAGCAAAGTTAAAGTAGCGAACACAGTTTGATATAATTTTCTGCATCTGGTCTGGAATCCCATCGATCTCCAGTCTGGAGATATGCTCACAAAACATCCGACCTCAGATCTGTCTTATATGTAACCCATGGCAGACAAAAATCCTGCCAGCTTTTCTGTTGATGTGAGGATCTTCTGTTTCTTGATAATCTTACTGCAAGAAAACAGTTGAAAGTAGTGAGCCAGGTGACGTTCTCTAGCACTGTTTTTTTTTTTCTTGGCATGTAAGCCTTAGTAGCTTATAGTCTGTATAATTACAGTGATTTAGCATTACTTTCCAGTATTTCTTCTCCATTGCTTACAGGATAGCACAGAAAGCAGTAGCATGCCTAACTGCTGGCTTGTGCTGCTCAGCATAGCATACTCATATATCTGGGAAGTGATTTTTAAAAGTTAAGAGAACCAGCTTAAGACTTCTCATGGGGAAGGAACATAGCAATATTTGAAATCCTTTTTGTTTTTACCATCTATCAGTGGGATATCTCCTGTTCTGAGGCTACCCTCCTTGCTTATCTTAAGTAAACAGGGATTGAACTGCGGTGGTAGCCCCATACATGTGGAACCAGTACTCCTCTAGATGTTGATCCTGTGTTCTTCTTCCATGACTTGGAAAACTTCTAAGGCAATGGTTCTCAAGCATTTTAGGGTCAGCACACCCCTCCAAAACTTTTTTTGAATTTGGTGGCATCCATGGTTGAGAAACGTACTAAATCTTTGCATAAAAAACTATTCTCCATCCCTTCATGAAACAGCTACTGACATTAAAATTATTACATGTGTTTTTACCATGTCCCAAGCATGAAGGTTCTGTATGGCAGCTCCTTATTCTGGGAGGAAAGGTTTAACCTAAACATTCATTTTAGTAATGTTTTTTAAAACCAAAATGATAGTTTTCTCTCTCTTTTGCTGTATTTTGTCCATTTTATGGTGGCTTCATTTGGTACAATATTCTGAGTTTTTTGCAAGTAGGCAACGTACTTTGTGAACTTCATCCTATTAATGCACCCAGTGTTGTACAACATGTTTATTAATGATTTGGATCCTTGAATTAAAAGCTGCTTGAGGAAGTTTGCAGATGACATGAAACTGGGAAGGATTGCAAACATGTTAGAGGACAGGAACACAATTCAAAGGGATTTTAACAGATTGGAAAGCTAGGCAAGAGCTAGTAGGATCTTCAGTGGTGACAAATGCAAGGTGCTACACCTCGGAAAGAATAACCGAAAATATAGGTACAAAATAGGTAACACCTGGCTGGATGGCAGTGTCCTGGAGAAGGGTCTGAACATCTTGGTAGATCAATATGCATCTGCAGTATAATGCAGCTGCATAAAAGGCAAATGCGGTTTGGGATGCATCAATAGAAGCATTAAGTGCAAGAAATGGGAAGTGATAGTGTCTCTCTACTTGGCATTGGTTAGGCTTCATTTAGAGTAGTGGGGTTCAGCTTTTTCCCCTGGAGGACTGAATGGGCAGTGCCCAATCTCTCCATGGGCTGGATCCCACCAGGGGTCCTAATCCAGCACTAGGGCCAGTGCAGTGGGCACCATCTGCAATCCAGCCCCTTGGGGTGGGGGTGGGGGGGCAGAAATGGGGCATGACTTGGCCTCACAGGAAAGAAAGGCCATGGCCCAGCCCCAGTCCAGTCCTGCAGGAAGGACGTGTGGCTTGGCCCCAACCCAGTGCTGATTCTGGATTTGAGGTTTGGGAATTTGGCAGAGGGAGGGTGACTATATTAATGGCCATTCCTCCACCACCAAATTTCCCACTCCATGGGGAGCCTTGTGGGCCAGTGGCTGCGCTGAGCACCCCTGATCTGGAGTAGTGTATGCAGTTTTGGACTTCACATTTTAAGAAGGGCCTGGAGCAGTTAAAGGGTCCAGAGGCTTGGGAGGCAAGTCAGACAAAAAGACTGAAGAAAATGGACATGTTCAGCTTGCAAAAAAGGTGCTTCAGGGGGAACATGCTAGCAGTCCTCAAATCCTGGAAGGGGTGCCATAAAAAGAGGGAAAACACTTTTTCTCTCTTGTTGCAAAGACTAGGACATGGACCAACAGCTTGAAGTTTCAGCAAAGTAGGTTTAGATTGAATATCCTGAAAAACCTCTCCACTGTTGGAAAAGCGAGGCAGTGGCATGTACTGCCAAGGGAAGCTGTGGAAACTCCGGCACTAAAGGTGTTCTACAGAGGTTGGACAGACATTGGTTCGGGATGATTTAAGAGTATTTATGCCTAAACTCTACTATGGGTTTTCCATGCTTCTAGCCTTTACTGGTTGCCACATGGGCCTGGGAAGGAGTTTTTCCCCTCCTGCTGCTACATGTCAGGGTTGTTTTAAAGCCTTCCTTGGAACCACTGGGGGTTGGCTGCAGTCAGTGCTGGGGATTGTGACTGGGGTATGCAGTGCTCTTGCTGGGACTTAAACCTGGAGTTTCCTGTCTAGAGAATCTTGCCTCTCGGCTTAGACTGTTTTGTCATATTTGGAATCGGGAAGAATGGTACAGACCCATGATCAAATTAGTATGGACTTGGGGGGGTTATTGCCACTTTCTGTTGCCCGGGGAGGGGAGTATATTTTAATTACCTTGTAGCAGCAGTAGGTTCACTGCCATGGTCCCTGTACTTTACCTGTGGCAGGTTAGGGTGTTCATAGATTCATAGATGTTAGGGTCAGAAGGGACCTCAATAGATCATCGAGTCCGACCCCCTGCATAG